GCAGTGTGTGAAGGGATGGGGACTCTCTGAGCTGGGGGGTCTGTGTGGCGGGGTGTATGTTGGATGTGTGTTGTGGGGGTGGGGAGGCTGCAGTGTGTGAAGGGATGGGGACTCTCTGAGCTGGGGGGTCTGTGTGGCGGGGTGTATGTTGGATGTGTGTTGTGGGGGTGGGGAGGCTGCAGTGTGTGAAGGGATGGGGACTCTCTGAGCTGGGGGGTCTGTGTGGCGGGGTGTATGTTGGATGTGTGTTGTGGGGGTGGGGAGGCCGTGGTGTGTGAAAGGATGGGGAGCTTTCTGAGCAGGGGGGAGGTAAAGGGTCTGTGATGGGGTGTGTGTTGGATGTGTGCTGTGGGGAGGCTCTGGTGTGAGAGGGAATGGAGGGGCTTGCTGATAACTGTGGTGGGGAGATAAGGGGTGTGTGTGGTGGGGTCTTGGTTGGCTGTGTGGCAGTTGGGAGGCTGTGGTATATGAGGGGATGAAGGGGCTTGCTGATAACTGTGTGGTGGGGTGCATGTTGGATGTGTGCCATGAGGGTGGGTAGGCTGTGGTGTGTGAGGGGATGGGGGGAGGCTCCCTGAGCAGTGGTGGGATGCAGATTGGATGTGTGCCAGGGGAATTGGTAGACTGTGGTCTGTGAGGGGATGAAGGGGCTTGCTTAACACTGTGGGTGGGTAAGGGTCTGTGTGGCAGAGATGCATGTTGGATGTGTATCCAAGGGATGGGTGGGCCTGCATTACCATCTCCTCCGCCCAGTGCCAAGCACGTTGGCTCGGTTAATATTTGTGACCTGTGGCCCCGGTGAGTGTAGTGCGTGTAATAGTTGTCTCTAAAGCCCAGTTGTGTGTATGTTGCTGTGGCCCCATCTACTTGTCCTGTACAATGTTATAGCGAGAAGCAGGCTAGTGGGCAGGTGACAGGACTTCTCCAGTAGGTCAGCAGTGGACTTTTTCAAAGGGATTTTGTCTCCAGGGTCGCAGCATCACTCCATTCTTTTGCCCCCACTTTGGCAATCTGTGCGTTTCCTGCCTTGCTTTGGGCTGGCGTGCAGTTACTATCGTTTGTATCTATTGTAGCTTGTTTGGAAGTATTTCAGGCCCAGAACTGCTTACATTTTACTGAGGATAAAATTACCCCATTTTGTAGTGTATCATTTTAAAATGCTTGGAATCTTTTTGGGATAAAAGGTATAATATACATGTAAAGTTATTCTCATAAGGTGCATTTGTTTGAACAGTTGTATTGCCTGTCACCTCTAGGAATCAAATTGGTTTACATGCTACCAGACCCCTGACAACAACCCCATTTCAAATCTAGGGCTGTTAACGTTAAACCCAGACTAGGATTCTAAGAATTTTTACCTCTTAAATCAGTTTTAAATGATCTCTTATGCCCTCTACTAAAGTGTTTTTTGCTTGATCTAGTTGGGTGTAATCTGGAGCAAACAGTAGAGATTAGTCTTAAATTTACATGGATAGCTATGTAAAATGAACTTTGAAATAGTTATCTGTTTTCACTTGTATTTAAAATTCAATGTACATATTAGGGATCTGAATTAGGATAAAAGCTGGTTTAAATAAAATGTGCAATTTAAAATAAAATCCATGTAAACTGAAATCACCTTCTTTCCTTTAGAGTGTTAAGGATGTATACAACACAAGTTCAATACCCAATATACTCCAAATCTAACTCTTGCTCCCTATCCAGTTTCCCTTATGCACTGTAATAAGCACAAGTCCAAAAGTAAGGAGTCAGAATCAGTTCTCAGTTAGTAGCACCTGGCCACCCATCATTCAAATAAGCCAAGTATGCTCTTCCTGAAAACAGTTTGCCTTCCAGGGTTTGGGCCTATCCACAGACTAGTAACTGTGTCAAGGGTCCTCATTATAGATGTCTACATTAAGAAACTGTGTTTTCAACTGAAGTGGGGACAACACGTGTATCCTCAGTTTGTACTGCAGACCTGTTCTCTTCAAAGCTGTAGTACAGTTCAGGGGCATAGTTAAAACATAACTAGATCTTGGCTGTCAATACAAGATAGCATTTATTAGGGGAATAACAGTTGTAACATAGGTAAGAGCCAAGTGAATGCTTTCTGGCTCAAGGAAAAAATTATTTTCTATCATTCTGAATTGTACGATGGAGTCTTATTGATACACGGGCATATTTAAAATTAAAAGGGTGAGAGAACAAAACTACTGACAAAATTAAATACTTTGACCCGCCACATGACAGCAAGTGTTTACTGTTCATATCACCTGTTCTCTGAGAGAGTAAACTTTTTCTGAAGCATATATCATGTTGAATTTTTGGTTAACTATCTAGAAACAGTGGTTAGCTACCAGTAGGAGCAGAATTGCTGCACTGTTAGAATAAAAGGCTGGCATGATAAAACATTATGCATTAAAACGTTTTACTTCTGACAAACTGTATATTAAAATAAAATTTTAATTTTGTACTCTAGCTCAGATCTTTAATACCAACCTGCATACTTATGTTGATCCCATGATGATGTCTGGGCATTATAGAATAATCAGTGAGTTATGACGATTTACAAGGAAATAACTCAATTTGATGGATTTATTTCCTTAGAAATTATTGCATGCAGCCTGTTAGATGATATATACATGTGAAAATAAAATTAATGCATCAGAAGTGTTCTTAAGAAGCATTACCATATGGAAACAAGTAGTTTAGCTTCTATGCAGGTACTAGTAAAACCATTTTTAGTTAAATGAAAGAGGTTTTCTTTTATTGGTGGTGATGGGGGCAATACCTTGCCCTGAATTCAACCATTGTGGTATTGTGTCTTTACTTGGAAAATCAGAAACAAGTTGATTTCAGTGATGATATTTTAACACTGATTAGATAATGAAATATAAAATGAGATGTTTGTATTTTATTTAATGAATTAATTTTTTGCCAACACATTTATATATCAATATATGTTAGGAATTTTCAGTGTTTTCTTTGACACCTCTCAGGGCATGTATACAAAATCTAATTGAAAAACCATTAGCCTGATTTTTCAGAGGTGCCGAATAAGCTTCCATTGACTTCAGTGGGCGTTGCGGTGCTCAGCACCTCTGAAAATCAGGTCAGTGATTGTGCAGGCAGATTAGCTTTGAAGCAGCAAAAAGAAAAGGACTTTCTGAAGAATAAATAACAAGTGGCTGTGAGAAGTAGTGGGCCTTACATGTGTTCCAAAGCACGATTCTCTTGGTCTTTATTAGACCAGTGGGGTAGCATATTCTATTTCCTTAGGCTTTGTTTACCTTGGATTTTCAGATATCTGTATAACTACCCTAGTGCAAATCCTTAGCATAGATACTGTGTATTGCTGGCGCAGCTTACCCTGCAGTAAACTGCACTGGTGCAGATCACAGTGCTCTAGTGTATTTGAAGCTTGGTCTGTGCTACCAACTTATGTCGGTATAATTACGTTGCTCGGGGGTGTGGAAAATCCACACCCCTGAGTGTCGGTTATACCGGCCTAACTCCTGTTCACTCTGATACAGCTACAGTGGTGACTGAAATCTCAGTGTAAGCAAGGCCTGAGAATGTTCTGCTACCAGCTGCCTCATTCCATATCACCCTAGCTGGTAGCATGGGGGAAGAGAGATGAACTCTCATATCTACGATCCAAACCATTTAGAGCTTTATACAACAAGTTTAACAACTTGAATTGCCACTGAAAGTAAACAAGCCAATATGGTTCCTTCAGAACAGATGTACTATGTTGATGGTTCCTCGCAGCTGTGCATTTGATTTTTGTTCCAGCTCTGGTGCTTAAATGGTCTTCAAGGTAGCCATGTGAAGTGTGTGGCAGTAATTGAGTCTAAAGGTCCAAAAACTCAAGGATTACTGTGAAGAACTTCAAATACAAACAAGAGCATCCCATCACTTAATCAGTCACAGACAAAACACTGCTGCTGGCCAATGACCCCATGTGGTAGTGCAGGAGCTATTAGGGGTACAAGAGCACCCTCAGCTAGGGTGTGGTCTACGCTTAAAAGTTTTGGTCGTATAGTTAAGTCAGAAGTGTGAGAAAATTCATATCCCTAACTGATATAGCTATGCTGGCAAAAGCCCTAGTGTAGACACAGTTAAATTATCAAAGTCCTTTTGCCAGTGTAGCTATTTTGTTTGGGAGCTGGTATAAGCTATACCAGAAAAAGAACACTTGTGATATAAGCTGTGTGTTCACTAGGGGCATGGCTACACTTGCAGGTGTAGAGCGCTGTGAGTTAAACCAGCCCTCGGAGACCACAGCAGAGAAAACGCTGCCATGTGTTCACACTGTCATCTGCAAGCGCAGTGGTGTGGCCACATCTGCGGCACTTGCAATGGCATTGGGAGCGGTGCATTATGGGCAGCTATCCCACAGAGCACCTCTTCCACATTCTGGCGCTGTGCTTGTGGGACGGGGGCAGGAGGTGAGGGGCATTCTGGGTCCTGTCCCAGTGCCCCATGATGCATCGCTTTGAATCCCAGCAATCCCTGTGCTTCCGTCCACATTTGGCGCCATTTTTCAACGTTTTTTGTACTGCGCGCTCTGTCTTCCCTTTTGGTCTGCGGGAATGGATCCTGAACTTGTGAGGAATATGCTGATGGGTCTCGCCAGCATGTCACGAATTGCAGTCGAGTTACTCCTTAAGCTACAGAGTGACTGCGAGGAGTCCAACGATGATGTCAACTCGCATAATGCAGACGACACGAGATTGCTTGTGGCATTCACAGACATGCTAACCACAGTGGAATGCCGCTGCAGAACTTTTGGATGAGGAAAGCCACTTTCATGGAACTATGTGCTGAGCTTGCCCTCACCCTGTGGCGCAAGGACACAAGATTGAGAGCTGCCCTGCCGGTGGAGAAGCAGCTGGTTATTGCAATCTGGAAGCTGACAACTCCAGACAGCTACCGTTCGGTCGCTAACCAGTTCGGAGTGGGAAAGTCAACCGTTAGACTCATGTTGGTGCAAGTGTGCGGGGCCATTAATTGCATCCTGCTTAGAAGAACCATGACTCTGGGCAACGTGTGTGACATTGTGGCTGGCTTTGCCCAAATGGCTTTGCCCTAACTGCAGAGTGGCGATAGATTGGACGCATATTCCAATTCTGGCACCAGACCACTTAGCCTCAGAGTACATAAATTGGAAGGGGTATTTCTGTATTGTTCTCCAGGCACTTGTGGATCACCGTGGGCGTTTCATGGACATTAATGCAGGCTGGTCTGGAAAGTTGCATGGAAAGGCCTGTTCAGGAAGTTGCAAGCTGGGACTTTCTTCCTAGACCAGAAGATCACCGTAGTGGAAGTCGAAATGCCCATTGTGATTCTTGGAGACCCCACTTACCCTTTAATGCCGTGGCTCATGAAACCCTACACAGGGAGCCTTGACAGCAGCAAGAAATGGTTCAACAACAGGCTGAGTCGGTGCAGAATGAGAGCGGAGCGTGCTTTTGGCCATTTAAAGGGCCGCTGGTGCTGTCTATATGGGAAGCTGGACCTAGCCGATGACATCCCCACGGTTATACCCGCGTGGTGTACTCTCCATAACATTTGTGAAGGGAAAGGTGAAAGCTTCATTCAGGCATGGACCTTGGAGGTTCAACACTTGGAGGCTGAATTTGAACAGCCAGAGACCAGGGCTATTAGAGGGGCCCAGCGTGGGGCTGTAAGGATTAGGGATGCCTTGAGGGAGCAATTCGATGCTGAAAGCCACCAGTAATGTTTGGTGCCCCGCACGGGAGTGAAGTGCAGTGGTTCCAATGCTAGTAGGCATCTGTGTTTGCTACGTATGA